GAACATTCCCGTGTGTCAGAGGACATCAGGAAGATCCAGGAGGCACAGGTCTTGTGCAGACCACAGGCGGGGTGAAGGTCGTGTTCCTCAGGGACACTCCCCAGGGGCTCATCTCTGACACCCCTTCCTCCTAGGCCATGGCTGAGTCCAAGCATCTCCAGGAGATTGACAAGTTAAAGGCTGCTCAGTCCCGCATGGCAGAGGACATGAAGAAGATCGTGAAGGAGCGTGACCAGGTGAACTGCTGCAGTCAGACACTTGTGTCTCTGAGGCAGCAGCCAGTGGCCTCGGCTCTGCCTGCCAGAGGCTCAGCAGCCCTGGCCCTGCTGGATGCATGGAGAGAGCTGCCCACAGTGCCCTGGCAGCCTGGCTGAGCCTGACCTGCGCTGTCCCCTGTGCTGGGAATGCCATAGTATGGGGGTAGGTCCTGCAGGTCACAGGGACCCTCGCCTGGCACTCACCCCCACCACCCCTCTCTCCTAGGCCAAGGCTGAGTCCCAGGATCTCCGTGAGGAGATTGTCAGGATAAAGGCGACACTATCCTTCATGGAAGAAGACATTATGAGGATTAGGGAGACCCTTGCATCGGTGAGCTGCTGGCTGGTGTCACTTTTGGGCTCTTGTGGGGTACCTGAGTGTGGCTCCCTGAGCTGGGCATTTGGGGTTGAGGCAGGGACAGGGTGTGGGGCCCTGGGTCTGCCCTTGCAGCTGAGGGGCCCTCGTGCTGGGACAACACATGGTCTGTGCCCTGAGTCTGCCACCACTGCCCTTCCCAGATGAAGAAGATGGAGAAGGACATCACAAAGCTGAAGGAGGATATAGCCAAGTGGAAAGAGGAGATCAGCAAGCAGATCACTCAGCAAATGGAGTAAGAGGACGGGACAGGGTTTAGTACCCTATAGGGCTGCAAGGAAGCCCAGAGGGCCTGGGAGCATCCTGGTTTGGGGCTAAGGGACATTGTCCAAGCAGCACTGGGGAGGCTAAGCCTGCCCCTGCCCCCGTCTCACTGGTCAGGTCAGTTCTGAAGGAGACAAAGAGTGAGCTGATGAAGATGGAGGAGCAGCAGATGATGAGGAATTCCATGCTGGAACAGATGGTGACTGAGATGGCCAACCAGTTGAATGCTCAGGTGAGGTGCTGGGGGAGCACTCTCACCACCCACCGGCTCAATGGAGGGGTCCTGATGGGTTTCCCAGCCACATCCCCCAGCTGGCTGGGGCCATCGAGCCCCAGGGCACCCAGGGCTGTTCACTGCAACCAGTCAGCAGCATGGAAGGAAATTAAAGCCTTGGTGTAAATGTCCTGTTGACAGTGAGGGCTCCTGGCCACAGGCTGAGTGGCACAGATCTGTCTCTGTGGGACAAAGAAACTCCCTTTGCTCAGCACCACTCCTGTTCTTCCTTCCTGGAGCAGGACCAGCAGCTGATGCAGCACATGGAAGACTCATTCAGCAAGATTCAAATGGAGTACAAGAAGTTCAGCTACATCTCAGAGAGCATCCAGGCAGACTGTCAGACGAAGCAGAAAGCTATTGAGGTGGGTGGTTGAAAGTCCGGTGGGCTCAGAGCATCCCCCAGGCAGACTCCAGGCAGGGCACCACAAGGCATCTGCCCCCCTGCCAATCTGCTCACAGCCCTGTGGAGGTTCCAAGTGCCTTTCCTGGGGCTTTATCGGTACAGGGAGCAGGGGGTGCCAAGCTGGTCAGGAGGCAGCTCCAACCCTACTGCGGTTTCATGGGCTGCTTTCTGTGTTGAAAGATGCTGTTCCAGTCCGTGGAGAAGCTGAAGAAGGAAAAAGTAGATGAGCAGAACATGTTGATGGCAATGGACACGGTAGAGTCTCGAGGGGTCTCTGTGCCAGCCCAGGGCTTCCTGGGCAGGGTGACAAAGGTCCCTTGTCCCTTGGGGGCTGGGTGGCGGAAGTGGCCTGGGAGAGGGAGGATTTCCAGAGCAAGTGCAGGTCCCTTGCCCCTCTGCTGGTGGGACCGACCCCATGGGGGTGATGGGGTGAACGGGGCCGCATGGTGGCATGATGAAAGGGGCACGATGGCATGGAGGGAGTGCTTCTCCCTGTGCCCGTGACACGCCCTGGCCCTGCCGGTCATTCCTCAAACTTTTGCCCTCTTCACTCCTGTCTTTCCCTCTGCTAGAAAGCAGACAAAGATGCCTTGGGCAGCAAAGTGGATTGCACCCAATTCGAGGCGGGCATGGAGGGGCTGGAGGAGAGGCTGCGGAAGATGCAGGGCCAGATGTCAGGGCAGAAGCAGCACTGCAACGAGCTGCAGCAGAAGATCAAGGACATGATAGAAAACAAGGTGAACAGTGCCTCATGCCTGCCATGAAAAACTGGCACCTTTGGGGCCTGGCAGACGGAGACAGCATCTCTCTGAGGGTCCCCCTCCAAGACTGTTTCCTGGAGCTCGCCATGACCCATGCCGGGGCAGCTGGCTGAGGGTGTGCACCTGTCCACAGCTGGATCGCCAGGAGCTGAAGTTTTTCCGAAACCGGCTAGAGGACACCTGGAAGAGGAACATGGAGGAACTTGAGAACCGGATCTTGGGTGACAGCGCGGCTGGCACGAGGAAGTGAGTGGGATGGGGATGGCAATGGCGAGGAGGGGGCAGCTGTGGGACAGAGGCCTCCCACACCAAAGTGGGCTTCCAGAAGCAAGGGTGGGAGATGGCGACTCGTTCCCCAGGCAGGGGTGCGACACACAGCGCCCCAGGGCTGGGTGGTGCCCTGCCCTCCTGGCCAGGCACAGGGGGATCATTAGTGCTGCAAGGGCTGCTTGGGATGGCAGTGTGGGCCCTGTGCCCTTCCCCTGGCAGCAGCCAGTGGGTTGCGGAATGGGGAGAAACCAGGCCCGACAGCCCACGCTTTGCCCTGCAGACACCGTGACTCCCTGCAGCGCCGTGCCCGGCACCTTGCTGCTGCCAGCGAGCCGCTGCCTGTGGGTGGGCAGGGCTGTGGCCCCCCAGGAGCTCACCCAGCCCTTGTCTCTCCCCATCCTTAGGCAGCTGCCAGTCCCTTTCACGTGCCTGTCCTGTGACCGCCCGATCAAAATGCAGGTTCCTGGCCCGTGAGTATCAGCTCTGCTTCGGGGGGGCTGCGTCAGTGGGATGGGGGCAATGGGTGCCAGGGGTGACCCGCTGTGCCAGGCACAGGGGTGAGGGTGTCAGCTTGGGAGGGTCTGACTCTGCTGAGCCCCCTCCCCAGCCCATCAGGAGGGAGGGTGAGGCCTTGTCCCCAAGGGCTGCCAGCACGGGAATCTGTGAGGTACAAGGCTGTGGGTTTTGGGGTTCTGCCCCGAGCAGGCGTGGGTTGTTTGTCCCCTGTCACCCACCTGTGGCTTCTGCCCTTTCCAGGTATCCTGAGACACTCCCATATTTCCAGCCGATGCCCCCCAGCAAGGACACAGAGCAGAGCCAAAGGTAGGGGACCTGAGGACACATCCCTGGCTCCTGGGGGGCAGGACAGCCCTGCCCTAGCAAGAGGAGCTCTTTCCTGCTGGGGGCGAAGGAGCCTTTTGGGCCTGAGCAGTGCAGAGGAGCAGAGGGAGGGCTGTGGAGGGAAAGTGCTTGCCCCAGGTGTAGGGGTTTTACTGCCCCCTTTCCCCTGCCATGTCAAGGCCAGGACTCTGCCTCATGATGACTGCAAACAGATGTGATGACTTTTGTCTGGTCTCTTCCTGAGCTCAGGCTCGGGGTGGAACTGAATGCCTCCTGGGAAAGCAATTCCCACAACCAAACCCAGCTCCTGCCTCCTGCTGTCCTGTGCACGGGGACCTGCCATAGCCATGGCTCAGCTCACCTGGCCCTGGGGAAACAAAGAACAGATCCAGCCCTGTGGGATGGGCCTGGGTCTCCTGCAGCAGGTGGAGGGGAGCCGGGAGGGACAGGTCCCATGGGGGAGCAACCCTGGTCCACTCCCAGGTGCAGAAGGGTGAAGCCCAGGATGCCACGGTGCCGGGCGCTGAGCATTCCTGTGCTGATCCCACAGGAGAGCAGTGATCAATGGCAGAGTCCCCCGAGTGTCACCAAGCACCGTGAAGCCCCAGAGCGGCAGAAGCCCCGGGCAGAGCATCCAGGCTTCCCTCCGGAACAATTTGCAGCTGAAGCGCCTTGTGGTACTCCCCAGCATGGTAGGGAAGGCACAGACACAGCAGGCATGATTGAGGCTGGGAGGGTGAGGCTGAGTATCCGGGGGCAGTCTGTGCCTTCAGTGGCCCAGGGGAGAGCTGGGTTGGGAGGGGCACTGTGGGAGGCTGTATTGGGTCCCATGCTGCAACCAGCTGCTCTCTCCTTCCCAGCCCACCATCGTGAAGGGCACCTGTGACCCCAAATCCAAGGGCCAGAAGGACCAGCCTCCCGTGGTGGACAGTGCACAGCCTCGTGTGGTGAAAAGAGTACAGACTCCTGTGGTGAAAAGTGCACAGCCTCGTGTGGTGGACAGTGCACAGCCTCGTGTGGTGGACAGTGCACAGCCTCGTGTGGTGAAAAGACCACAGACTCCTGTGGTGAAAAGAGCACAGACTCCCGTGGTGAAAAGTGCACAGCCTCCCGTGGTGGACAGTGCACAGCCTCCTGTGGTGAAAAGTGCACAGCCTCCCGTGGCGGACAGTGCACAGCCTCCTGTGGTGGACAGTGCACAGCCTCGTGTGGTGGACAGTGCACAGCCTCCCGTGGTGGACAGTGCACAGCCTCCTGTGGTGGACAGTGCACAGCCTCCTGTGGCGGACAGTGCACAGCCTCCTGTGGCGGACAGTGCACAGGAAGAGCCTGGTATGGCCTTGTTCGGGCACAGGGTGGCAAAGGGAAGTGCTCGTCTCCTGGGGAGGGGGACACGGAGCAAGCAGGGAAAGTGTGGGACAACAGCTTGTGTGCTGGTGGGTGGGGACCAGCACCCCCAACCTGGGGCTCTCTGGACAGGCAGGTGGCCCTGCTGCCTGACACGTCCTGGGCTGGCAGCGCTGCCCCAGCCGGGGGCTGCCCCTGGGAAGTGGGAGCTCACCATTGCCTCTTGCCCCCAGGCCCTTCCACCTCACAGGAGGAACGACCAGCCAAGACCCGCAAGCCCAAGCACGTCACCTGGGCACCGGAGCTCACCCAGATAAGGATAATCCCGGCCCGTGAGACATCACCTGCCCCAAGAAGACGAAGAGGATCCAACAGCCGGTACTCAGACTTCGACATCGAAGAAGAGAGAAGAATCGCGTTTGCAGAGATCATTAAATTAATGAGGCAAAAATAAAAATGCAGAGGGAGCCTGGTCCCATCAGCCTCTCTCTTCCTCAGGCTCCCTGATGCTCCTCAACCTTTCTGCTCCCTCCCTTCTCTCTGCCACCAGGCTGAGCACATCGTGCCCCCCGGCCAGGACTTGAGTGCCTTCATGTCGACACTGGCCCATACCAAGCTTCGTCCTGCCCTCCCTTTCTCGAGGGGCAGCAGCAGGGGCTGGCCCCGAGGGTTTCCTCTCGCCGGGGGCGGGCAGCCCCTTGCCCAGCCGTCCCTCTGCGGCCCCCTCTGCAGAGCTGCTTTCCAGCCGGGCACCCCCGGCGTGTCCCGGAGCTGGCGCTGATCCTGCCCAGGGCCGGTGGGGCCCTGCGGCTGGGCCGGGCCATCCCGGCCACGAGCGGCCCCCGGGGCGGGGGGACACACAGGCACAGGGGGACACGGGCAACCCACGCC